TTTTCTTCTTATTTGCAAGTCAGCTAACACATTTATTTTATTTAAGCTTTGTGTAATTAAAAATCTTAAGGATTATACACCAAAATGTAAACAACAAATAATAAATCTACAGGTAATTTTAATTTTCCTGTTCATACTTTTTTTGTGTGTTTTTCAACCTATCTACAACAAATCTATAAACTGCATAGCCAGAAAAAAAATAATGTATTTTATAAAACACAATCATAGACAATATGAGACTGTAGTTTCCAAAGAGTCAGGAGGATGCACTGTACAAACAAGAGACAGAAGCATTGAATACCAGGAGATCAGATGTGTCTGTGGGCCTCTCTCAGTCCCTTTTCCATTTGGTGAATCCCTCACCTATCACTAATTACTGTCTTGCAAATTATATTTTAGCCGACAGGTCCTTTCTTCAAACAAAATGTAGAGATGTACAGTATATTTAGCAAACACCTTCCTGAAGAGTTAAATGGTGGGTGCTGATGGAAGTGGAGATGGGAACCTGGACCCCCACCCGCTGGCTCACCATCCCGCCTGGAGAGCTCTCCCAGGCGCTCCTGGAACCCTGTCTCTGGCGAACACAGCTCTCCCGGAAGCCATTGGTCCTTGCTCAGGATATTTGAACTGCTTCACATTTCCAGAGGCTGTTCAGACAGGGACCTCTATGAAGCTCATTAAATGTTATGTAAAATACTGATTTCCTTCGTTTGCCCTCCGGTTTTCTGCTGATCTTTTTCACATCAAAACCAATACGCATGACTAACCCATCTTATAACTGAGAACTGATTCTAGCCAGAAAGCCTTATCATCATAGTAGAGGTGGCTTTTAGCTCAGAAGGAAAAGAGAAAGATTTGTTTGCTTATGCTTCTCTCTGAACTTCCTACTTTCTTCCCAAAGATTAACAAATCCAGTTTGCTTTCTTTTTTTTTTTCTTTTTTCTTTTTTTTTAACTCACCAAGTTGATGGGTGGACTATTTGGTGATTCATGGTCTGAAACTCTCTGCTCTCTTGACTTGTGTGATGTCCTGTTCAACTGCCTTTTCTTCCTCATATTATTTTCTTCTCTGCTTCATTTGCTGACAGTTCTGTGGGGTTTGGGGCATTCAATGGTCTGTCTCTGGGCAAATGATTTCTTCTTGCTTCTCTCTCCAGACAACTAATACATGCCCAGGGTTCAGTGATCGCAGCGTTGTGGATGGTGCTTAAGTGAGAGTATATTTCAGTCTCTCATGCAGGGCCACTGTTTTAGCTTCAGTGTGTAGTGATAGTGCTATCTTGAGCTAATATTAATTCTTCAAAGTTGGTATATCTGACTCCAGAATCATATTATTGCCACTATTTCTTGTCCCAACATCTCTATTCTGCCAGCAGCAACTCTATTCTCCCAGTCACCAAACTTGAAATTTTATTATTTATAACTTAGTTCCTAAATATCACCGATTTTACATTCAAAACTTCTCTTAGGTGTCTCTTTGCTTATTACTTCATGTCATAGAATTTTAGAACACAAAGCTTTCTTACTACATAGTTTTTAATCAATAAAATGTCTTTTTATTGATTTCAGAGAGGAATGGAGAGGGCGAGAGAAAGGTAGAGAGAGAGAGAGAGAAAGAGAGAGAGAGAGAGAGAGAGAGAGAGAGAGAGAGAGAGAGAGAGAGAGAGACATCAATGATGAAAGAGCATCATTGATTAGCTACCTCCTGCATGCCCTCCACTGGGTATCGAGCCTGCAACATGGGCATGTGCCCTGACCAGGAATCGAACCATGACTTCCTGGTTCATAGGTTGACATTCAGCCACTGAGCCACACTGGCTGGGCAATAAATATTTCTTAAATCTGAAACTAATCCAACTCTCCAAGAGAAATTCTAAAAGTTTGTTAACATTCTAAGTAATCTCTGCCCCCTATCCCTCATCTCGATAGTCTTATCTCCTACACTGTGGATTTAATCATGAAAACACCAGTTGAAATTAGGAAAACAGTTACCTCGGGGAGAGGAGGGTTTTGCAGGCCTAGTAATGTTCTCTTTCTTGAGTGGGCTGGTATTACAAGGGAGAGTCCACTCTTTGTCAAGCGTGATTTGCGCACATTTTTCTGTGAGTGTTAAATATTTTAAAGCAGTCTTAGGACTGACACAGTACAAGAAAGATATGATTGCTGGTCAAATGATTTTTTTTTTTTTAAAGCTGTAGATTCTCTCTAAAATGTGTAGAGAGGTAGAAAATTTAAATTCTGAAAGTATCCGATAGAGGATGTGAAGAAACAGGGACCTCACTGGTAGGAGGGCCAATCAGTACATGCTGTGAAGTTGGAAATGTGTGCGCCTTGCACCTAGACAATTCTGCCAGGCCTACACCCAGAGAGAACGCCTGCCCATGTGCATAGGAGCTGTGGGCAGCATGTTCCCTGCAGGAGAGCTTATAATAGGAAAAAGGAAAAGTGAAGGAACCTAAGAGCCCCTCACAGGTTAAATAAAATGTGTTTTTTATATAGTGAAATATTAAACAGTTAAATATATATGCATTTATAATAGGGCTCTAAAAATACTATTGTGGATGAACAACAGATGCAGAATATGTATAGCTTTATACACACATGCATTTTTAAAGTATCAAGCAATGCTGTATATTATTCCTGGGCACATATTTATGTTAATGTGTTTTTAAACAGTGGAAGGAAACCCTGTATACTTTCATGGTGAAGCAGGAGCCTCTGGGGAGTGAGTGGAGGAGGGTCTGGGATTGAGGATGGGGACAAAGGAAACTGTCACTTCATCTTCCTTATCCTGTTTCTTCAATTAAAATATTTAAAAAAGGCAAATGTGACTAAATGTTAACATCTGTTCATTCTGGGTGACAGCTCACAGGGTATTAGCTATACGATTTCTTGTCATTTTTCCTTTGTTTAATTTCTGAAAATGAAAAATTCATTGAGATAACAGCATCTTTCATCAGTTAGTCTTATTTATTGTCTGCGTATTTTATGTTCCTGTTTGTTTGATAGCTGAGATAGCGGAATTTCCTTTTTGTTGTTGTTGTTTATGTTCACAAAGCAAACTTGTTTTAGTTAACATTCTTTGGTATAGAAACGTGGCCGCCATACAGACTTGTGAGGAGTAATCGTGAGGGCCGCAGTTCACCACAGTCTGTGTATTAAGAACCACTTCCTGTGATCGACCTCCTCAAGCTATTGGAGCCAAAACAGCCAGAAGCAAACAGAATCAAGAAGTCAAAAAGATTTCCTCTTTGGTGCTAATGACTTGCTGGTATGCAGTTGTTAGGACTGAAGGTCTGAAACCACCCATGTTGATTGGCTCAGTCTCCAGGATGTCTTGGGGGTCATTTCCACAAGACTGGCAAAAGAATGGGACCCTGCCTTTCCCAACACTTCCTGCGTGCAACCCTGAGCAGCATAGACGTCTGCTCCGGCAGGAAGCAGGGCACCCTCAAAGTTCCATATGCCAGATGGACAGATGGACCGACCACGGGCACAGACCTTATCACAGATACGGCCATTAGTCACTGGGCGGGTGGTCTGGATGTCTTCGGAGGTGCACCCAAGGTGATTGCTATGACCATGTTTGAAAAGTTAGCAGATAAATGTGGGCTTGGACTAAATATTATAGAGTTAGCCCCTAAGTTGAGGCTTTTAAACATAGACAGGTAAGAGGAGGTGGGGGGCCTTCAGACCTTGCCCTCCAGGATCATCAACTAGAGGTGAACTTGGGTCTCTCTGGACTTTAGCCCTCCTTCCCATAAGCAGGTGAAAGAGGGAGTACTCCAAAAGAAGGGACTGCCGAAACCGGTTTGGCTCAGTGGATAGAGCGTCGGCCTGAGGACTGAAGGGTCCCAAGGTTCAATTCTGGTCAGGGGCATGTACCTTGGTTGCGGGCACATCCCCAGTGAGGGCTGTGCAGGAGGCAGCTGGTCAGTTTCTCTCTCATCGATATTTCCAGCTCTCTATCTCTCCCTTCCTCTTTGTAGAAAATCAATTATATGTATGTGTGTGTATATATATATATATATATATATATATATATATATATATATATATTTTTTTTTTTTTTTTTTTTTTTTTTTTCCTTTAAAGAAGGAAGTAAGCTTGCTCTGAGCTGTGCATCCCCAGGGAGCCTGGTGGGTGTCCAGCGAGACCAGTGCTGGGGGGCTGAGCCTTCCTAAGTCAGTTATCAGCAAGGCTTCTCTGTCACAGATCTGAAACTGTGTCCTCACCAATCCAGTTTTATCAGAAACAAAAGCAATATTTTCAGCTTCAGCTGTTTGGCCTCTACCTCAATTGGTTCCAAACTCAAAAGGGGAAGAGGGATACTTTTATTCATTGCTCTCCTCAAAAACCTATTGATCAATTAATTATAAGACCTCAAGATGATAAATTAATATTCTCCACAATACCAGCCAATAATTTGTATACTGAATTTATTACTACACCCATAATTATCCTGTCTGAATGGTTAGCTGAGCACTGCTCAATTACTTTTAGATTTCATACCTGTGGTTACAAAATTAATAGTATGTACTATTCATTATGGCACGCTTGACCTCGCAAAGCTTGAAATAGACTGCATTAAAATGTACATTTTATGGTGTATTATATTCTTTCCCTAGGTATAAGTTTACACAGAAAATGTATTTATTTAATTTAGTCATTGAATGGCAAAAGCAAAACACACAAACAACCCAGCGTGCTGTAACAGAACCCTGTTCTGCACATGGCCAGCTGTGCGTTGTGATTTTAAGGATGAATTAGTATTCTAATCTCTTTGGGATTTCTTTTATATTCCTGGTGGTTTATGACTGACGTTGAATGTAACTTTGGCTCTGCTTATACTTAATAGGAGATTCATTTCTGTGGCAGGATACACATTTACATTCCAGTGTTGAAAAAAAGCTACTGTTCTGCAAGAAGGAAATAAAATGTTGATTTATAATGACACATTCCGATAGCAGTGATCTAATTCTCCCAACTATTTCTTCCCAGGTCCTGGGAATAGCACGGCTCTTGCAAAGGGTGACTCTTCTCTTCCAGAATATTCAGCCTTCAACACATCTGTCCATGCTGCAATTAGACACAGAAACTGGAAACTCCTCACAGGCTACCCAGGTATAGAATGCTCAGCACTCCCCAAAATGGAACGACTCATAACTCTGGGGCTGCTGAATGAGGGGTGGGGGTGGGTAAGGGGGGGATCTACTACTAATCCTGACCCCTCACCCCCCAAAAAGCTAAGAATTAACTGTAGGAGGAATAAAAGGAAGAAATGCCACTCTAGTGCTTCAGGGAAAATAAGGATTTCAGATAGGCTTGGTTCTCAAGCATAACAAAGAGAACCTCTGAAGGCGACATCCTCAGCCCACAGGGAGCCTCCCCTGAGCACCTTCTCTAAAGGCGACATCTGTGAAGGACTTGTGGGATATGTGGCACGATGGTTAAGGTCATGGTGTGCGATTAAGCAGTGTGTATAATGAGGACATTCTTGGCAACTATGGCAAGACAATGCTTCATTGTTTGGGACTGCACCATGTGTTGCAAGACATTTTAGCATCCCTGGCCCATGACCACAAAATACAGAGTCTTGTGACAACTCCCCCTTCCCCCTTCCCCCTTGACACACACACACACACACACACACACACACGCACACGCACACGCACAGGCACACATACATGCATTCACATTTCTGGATGCCCCTGGGTATGAAGCATGAGACATGTCTCATTAAAGCACCAGACGTCTGAGTCTTCGATCCAGACACAGCATCAAGGGCCCCATGTTTTTCGTGTGTCCTTGCCCCCACAACCCAGCTCAGCTTTGTCCCTCGGGCTCTCTCCACGAAATTAGAACTGATCTACCATGTCTACAATAAACTGTTGAATTTCTTTGCCAGGCTGTGGTCACTGGTTCCCTCCACCATCAGAATACAATGTTTCTGAGATACCCTCATCGGACCCACCAAGCAAGACCCTCTGGCTCTTTGATATTGAGCAGGACCCAGAAGAAAGACATGACCTGTCCAGGGAGTATCCCCATGTGGTCAAACAGCTCCTTTCCCGGCTACAGTTCTACCAAAAACACTCGGTGCCCGTGTTCTACCCGGATCAGGACCCCCGCTGTGACCCCAAGGACACTGGGGCTTGGGGCCCTTGGATGTAGGACCTGGGGCAGCCTCGGGTGGGTCGCTAGAAAGCCTTTCTGTGCAAGTTGGACTTCAGACTCTGCTCGTGTGACTCATTCGTCCTCCCAATGGCTTCCCCTGGCCCTTCTTTTGCCCCTAAACCGCATTAACGAGGTTGTCTCATTTCAACCCCTTGTGCATTTAAGAAGATGCGATAAAATCTGGAACCCTCCCGCTGTTGGTTTGGGTGCGTGTCTAGAGGAGAGGGTGATGGGGTTCATCTCCTTTTTTCCAGAGCCATGGGTCTGCTGGGAACTTGACTTGAAATAGGAAGTTTGTGAGTCCTGGAGGCCGGAGCAGCTGGCTCCTTTAGCCTCGCAAGTCAGATGTGAGGTTTCCCTCTGCCAATAGCCAGCTTTTATGGGGGTGACTCACATTTCTTGCAGCAAATGAAGGGAGCAGACCATTGTTAATGGCTCTGTTGGCTAGCGGGTCTCCCTGTCTGCGAGAGATCGTGTTCAGACGTCCCATGTGAATACGCGCCTGGGTCACCCTCGCTCACACACTTCATCACTCATCCCGTCCTGGAGCATGAGGCCCATTTCACTGGTCAGGTCAGGATGGCAGCACGCCTGCTCCTCGGTTCTGCTCTTCACAATAAAGAACTCTTTTTATCCCCCTCGCCCCCCCAGCCATTGCTCATTTTGTCTAGCCTTCCTGCTCCCCGCAGAGCCCCCTGGTTTTCTCCTCCCCTTCCCTGTGACTCAGGCGTCCTGGGCCTGAGGAGGCTGCCTTGCTTCTCCGCTCTGAGCCCCACTGGTCTTGGGGACACTGAGCCCTGCCTTCCTTCTGCCCCTAGCGCCCAGTGAGAGCCCCGCCAGAGAAGGCGGCCCGCCTCTCTCTGTGAGTTCGTGGTGAACACGAAGAGGCCTGGGTGGGCAAGGCTTGGGTCTGGGTCATCTGTCTGGTGAGCACTTTTTAAATTAATAAATTAATGATGCTGGTGTCTTTTTAATTTTTATTTTATTGATTTTTCACAGAGAGAAAGAAAGAGGGATAGAGAGCTAGAAACGTCGATGAGAGAGAAACATCGACCAGCTGCCTCCTGCACACCCCCTACCGGGGATGTGCCCGCAACCAAGGTACATGCCCTTGACCAGAATCGAACCGGGACCTTTCAGTCCGCAGACCGACGCTCTAGCCACTGAGCCAAACCGGTTTCGGCTGGTGAGCACTTTTTAGTTACATGGAGTTTATTCTCATGACTGTGGCTTTGTCTCACAATGTAGGATGAGTTGCACTGACTGCTATTTTCCAGCAGTGAGGAAAAGCCCCCGGAAAGGGCACTGTTGTTCGGGATGATGGAAATGGGCAATTTGAAAAGGGAAATAGCCAGCATCTGGGATTCTGGCCTTGGGAAAGCCAGGTGGGCACATTCTTACTATCCCAATCTCACTGCTTTTATGGAGGTTCTGGGGTGAGGGGCAGGATGCAGTATGACCTACCAGCCCTTTCTCAGTCCCACTAATGTCCTACTGACATGCATCAGTGCAGATTAGCTCCAAAGAGTATCAGACTCAGAGAAATGTGTGCAAAAATTAGACTCTTTTTTTGCATTAGCTCCACTGTTTCATTTGCTGCGTTTCACCAGTGCCTAGTATGTAGAAGGCACTCAATACACTTTTTAAAAAATAAATGAGTGAATGGACGAATGAGCAAATGAGAAAGTCTCACATCATGAAATGTGGTAGTCCAATGAGTTGAGTACAGGGATAATATAAATATCTTCCAACCACTGATGTTCTGTTCTCAAGCTGTCTCCTTGGGTAGGAGCACAGTCTGCACATCTGGGCAGCCATTGGGCACACCATGGTGAAGTTGTAATGTCCGCTGGGAGAGCAGTGGAACTTGCCTGCCAAAGGTACTCTGCTTTTGCCAGTAATCCTCAGCTCTATCTGTTCTTCATAGGACACGAGAAACAAAGCCACCAACTAATCCGCTAGGTCCTGGGATAGCCACCCTTCCATTCAGTAGCTGGGTTTTCTGGTGGCTCCCAGCTTGGATTGTGTTAAAATAGGATGATTGGAAGGAAATGGTGCAAGAACTAATGACACCTATTACCCGCCTATTTCACACTCCTGGGCTGGCACACAGCCGGCCAAAATACTATTACCTCTCCCGAGCCTGTGGCAGATTTATGAACTAACTGAGCCCAGATATTCCTTCTGGATCATTCTAATCCAGTGCTCTAGGTACCATTAATACCTTAAGGTCGGAGGCATCGCTAGATGACCTCTTTTGCTCTCCCTGCAGCTGTCCCCGATTCTGCCTTCTTGGTTGCTGGGTACAGTGTGTATGTTCAGCACTCAGAATTTAAAGGGAATTTTAAAGATTAATTTTCTGTAACACTTTTATCTGAGATTTGATTTTATTCATAATAGAATGCGTTTATTAGATTTCTTTTCTGTACCAGGCTGTGAACAGATTCATATGTTTTCATTAGAAGTATTAATGTCATTTCTTTCTGAATTTGCTCATGTTTAAAGAAAGGTTTTGTTTATTTAACTATTTTTCTTTGTTACTTCACAATTGTCCCACATATGGAGGAACAAAAAAAATAAATGATCTTTTAGAATGTGTCAGCTGTGGGTGTGGAATTTCAACTTGTACGATGAAAAATTTCCGGAACTAGATAGAGGTGATGGTTGCACAACATCAGGAATGTACTTAATGCCTCTGAATTGTAATTTTAAAATTGTTAAAATGATAAATTTTAAGTTATTTCATTTTTATCCCAGTTTATTTTATTTTATTATTTTTTAATAGATTTTTATTAATTTCAGAGAGGAAGGGATAGGGAGAGAAAGATAGAAACATCAACGATGAGAGAGAATTATTGATTGGCTGCCTCCTGCACACCCCCTAATGGGGATGAGCCCACAACCTGGGCACGTGCCCTTGACTGCAATTGAACCCTGGTCCTTTCAGTCCACAGGCTGACGCTCTATTCCCTGAGCCAAACCAGCAAGGGCTTATCCCAGTTTTTTAAATGTGTTGGCCCATTTTTATTCTTTCCCAATCAACTCTTAATCTTCAAAATCTATTTTTTCCAAGAGAGTAGCCATCGCTATGTAGGTATGATTTCAGGCTGGTGAGAGACCAGCCTGCTCACCTGTGACCACCCTTACCGGTCGCTGAGAGCAGGAATGGTCAGTCAGTGTTGAGGTACCTGCCACACTTTCACCTTTGCTCCATTGCCATAGGAGCCACCCACCAGGTGACACAAGGCAGAGGAGGGTGACTCAGGCTGCCCTGGGCCTGGCCTCAGAACCTTGTGACCATCAGGAGAGGCATTCACCCAGGTAATCAATCATTGAGCATAAGGTATTTTGTTTAATAATCTTTGTCATTCTAACAATAGAGATAATAATGTCTCTAACAATTTTTAAAAATACAGAACACTATCAAAGGAAATTAAACACTTCCTAAGCTACCCACCCAGTTAGCCACTATAAACCTCTAATACCCTTTAAGAGAAGAATGAAGTGGCCACTTTCCAGACTGGTTTTCAAATCCCACTATGCCCAGCTGAGCCTCATTGGAGACTCAAGATGGTAGAAAAGTAAAATCTCACCTCTTCTGGAAATCTTCATTTTAATCCCATTACTGAACATGGATGTCCCCAGGATTTTTACTCCAAGGGCTGATGGTTTCCCATACACTCTCTCACATCCACATTCTCTCCCTCCCTCCCCTCCCTCGCTCGCTCCCTCTCCTCCAAGGGCCTCAAGACCGGGCCTGGGCACTGAGGAGCCAGCTTGCTAGCAGGACAGTAAGCAGGCACCTGCCTCTTGTTCACATCGCACCAGAGCCTTGCAGAGCAGGGCAGAGTCGATACACACCCTCCTCCCCTTCTCGGTAAACAGAACTTAATGTGCTTTTATTTACATTAAGTAAATTGAAGCTGGGGTTTGCCCTCTTGGCAATCGTTTTGTAGCCAGGATCGTCAAGTGCGCACTGTGCGTTGGCGGCAGGACCGGCAGCTGTGCAATAAGGGGAGGAGGGTGCCTGGGATGGACCCTGCCCCCAGAGGCTCACCCCTCCCGGGGATCTCGGCAGACAGGAGGTCCCCCCACAGGGCAGAGGGGAGGAGAAAAGGAACTGCAGCCTGAAGGTCCACAGAGGAATGTGTTTACCTGAAATGTTGCTTTTTATTTTTTACACCCATAAGGCTGGTGAGTAATTCCTGCATAAACTATGTTTGCAGTCCAAGCCTTTGATTGGAGGACACACTGGTGGTGTGTGGGAAGCTGCTCTGTGGTGTGGTCATGTTACTCGGGCTTCATGAAGGGAGCTGGGTTTTCTTGTTCCTAAGCCAGCGCTTGAGTGCAGGTGCTCGGGCTTCAGGCCTTACAGGTGATGGAAGTATGTGGGCCACATCCAGGACTCCAGGCCGAGGAGCAGGCCCCTCTGAGTGGGACCTGCGTGCAATCTGTCACTGGGGTTCACAGGTCCTTCTTTCCCCCAAAAAGCTGGTCGCACTTCCTAGGCAGCCAGGGCCAGGAGGACGCCCCCAGGCATCACATAACTCCTCAGCATCCCCCCCGCCCAATCCCTTCTCCTCCTTCTCCTCTCCTTCCTCCCTCCCCCCATCTCTGTGGCTCACACAGGCCCTCTCACTGCTAGGAGTCTTAACATGGTGGGTCCCCTTAAACTGACATTCTTTTCCAGAATAAGCAATTATAAGGGATGCTGTTTTATCACCTCAGTGAAGGGAAAACTAGTGTCATTGTAATTGTAAAAATACACACAGTGAATCCAAATTGAGAACTGTTCCTGACCTGGAAGGAAAGGAAAAATTTTAAGAGTGAGTCAATTTGTCACCAAATGATTTATCGCCGCCAAGGCAGAGCTGTGTCTTGGCAACGCTGGGGTGGAGATAAGGAAACTCCCTCCGGGCTCATGGTCCGTGTGTGCTGGGTGGCGCCTCAGGGTGGCTGGTGACTTCACTCAGCGATCTCTGCATCTCTGTGTCCTTCCATCTGTCCCCTGCCCCCTCCGGGGCTGTTTCCTCCGGGAACCACAGCTGCACTTTTCCCTGAGCAGTTTGTTTTGTTCACGTACCTGCAGACCTCAAACCTAGGGACGCATTCACAAGGCTTTAAACGTATAAACACAGGAGGAAACCGACTGCACAGAGGGAAACTGCACAGGGTCCCGCCAAAGGAAGAAGCAGGAAAGTCACAAACAAGCTGGTGGAGAGGCAACGCGAAGAGAATAAATGTTTTAAAGAAATAAACACTGAGAGGAGGAACATGGAGGTTTCCACTGAATCTTTTTTTTTTTTAATATATATTTTCATTGATTTCAGAGAGGAAGGGACAGAGGGAGAGATAGAAACATTAATGATGAGAGAGAATCATTGATCGGCTGCCTCCTGAACGGCCCCCACTGGGGATCGAGCCCGCAACCTGGGCATGTGCCCTTGACTGGAATCGAACCCAGGACCCTTCAATCCGCAGGTTGATCCTCTATCCACTGAGCCAAAACCAGGCAGGGCTCAACTGAATCTTAAATTCCAGGATTATAGTCGATGGTCCCCTTGCTCATAAAGCAGCCCTCCAGCCGAAACCGGTTTGGCTCAGTGGATACAGCCTCAGCCTGAGGACTGAAAGGTCC